CTCACTGTTTAGTTAGAAGGAAACCCTGTTTTTAAAAAAATTTGTGTTTCTTTTTTCTTTTTTTCCTCTTTCTTCTCTCTCTCTCTCTCTCTCTCTCTTTTTTTTTTTTGTGGTTGTGTGGTGTTGATCTTTGGGGGGGGGGTTCTTTCTTTTTCCTTTTTCTATCTGTATTTGCTCTTCTCATTTTATGTTTGTTAGGTATTTGTGTTAAATTTTATAAGCCAATAAAGATTTATTTAAAAAAAAGGACAGATTAGAAGGCATAATAATTAGCTGGGTTAATTATTTTAAAAGCAGTGCTTGAATTGTGTCTTACATTTGAAACATTAAGTCTGAAAAATAGTTGAGTAATATTTTTATTCACATGATAATATGCTTTATGTATAAATATATTATAGGAAGAGCTACAAGAAGCCCTTCTTGCTCGTGCAGTAAAGCAGCAGACTGAAGAATATTCAGAAGACTTTGAAAGTGATGAAGGTACATTGAGGAAGACTTAACTGTTACACTATTTGGATTTCATTTCTAATATGTTTTTAAATATATTTTTAATAAACACAGTTGGTGTTGATTGGGGGTGAGAGGTCCTGCTCTCAGCCTCTAAATTGTGGGGTGCTGCAGAGTTCTGTACTCTTTCCGCTTCTGTTTAACATCTACAGTACATGTTAAACTGCTGAGTGAGGTCATCCGTAGCCATGGGGTGAACTATATAGTGAAGTAAGTGAGGCTCCCAATGTCCTGCCTCGGTGTCTGGAGGCTGTAGGGGTTTGGATTGGGAACAACAGGCTTTAGCATAACCCTGGCAAGGCTGAGTGGCTTTGGGTTTGGGAGTCACCTGGATTTAAGAATTTACCATTTTTGGTTCTAGATGGGGTTGCATTCCCCCAGACAGACCCAGTGCCAGTCTGGGGGTCCTTCTGGACTCACAACTCCTGCTTGAAGAGCAGGTGGCAGTCGTGGCTAGGAGGGCCTTTGCACAGCTTTGAGTTATGCACAAGTTGTGCCCATTCCTGGATCAGGAGGCTCTATACCCTGGTCACCTCCTATATGGATTACTGTAATGCGCTCTACGTGGGGCTGTCCCTGAAGAGTATTCAAAAGCTTCAGTTCATGCAAAATGCAGCAGTGAGGCAGTTATGTGTGTACCTAGATCTGTGCACATTACACCTCTGCTCTGTGAGCTGCATTGGTTACCAGTTTGCTTCCAGGTCCAATTCAAGGTGCTGGTGATAACCTATAAAACCCTACATGGCATCTGGGTTATTTGAGAGACCACCTCTCCCCTGTGACATCTACCTGTCCCATCACGTCCAGCAGAAGAGGCTTGTTGCGGGTTCCGTCCACTAGACAGTGTCATCTGACAGACCCAGGAGCAGGGCCTTTTCTGCTGCTTCACCCGTCCTATGGAACAGCATTCTCCCCAAGGTCAGGTTGGCCCTGACCTTGATGGCCTTCCAGAAGGACCTGAAGACCTGGCTTTGCCATCTGGCCTGGGGATCAGACAGTGGTGGAGAACCCATAAAATGACTGCATTATTCTTGAATGACTCTGCTCTCCCAGCTGTACTGTATGGTTTTTAATTGTTTTAATTGTTTTTAACATTTGTATTGTTTGTATGGTTGCTTTATTTTTTGGTTTTTTGGTATTGTTTATGTTTTAATTGTAAGCCACCCAGAATCATGAATATGAGATGGGCAGCTATATAAATTGAATAAATAAATATGGTATCATTAATACTCCTCTTTTTATACTGAACTGTAATGAGATTTACAATGTATGTTAATTGATTCACAGATAAAATTATGCTTTGAATTGCAACATGTCATATTTTGAAAATATTTCCAGACACAGAAGAGGAATTTCCTGAATCTGTGGAAAACACCCCTCCTAAATCAGCGGTCTTTACAGTATCCACATCCAAGTTTAATATTTGCAACAGGAACACTTTAAAAAGTGAAAGTGCAGATGACTTGTCTTCATCAGAGGATGATGAGGGATCTCAGTACGCGTCCATTATGGAGAGAGAGGTTTTGAGTGAAGAGAGGCAAGCTTTCCCCTTTTCACTAACTGAACATTCTGGATCATGTGAAAGGAGTGCAGAAAAACAATCCATTCCATTTGAAATATCTTTGTCAGATCACTATTCTTTTGAAAAACAAACTGCTGATAACTTGGCTTTCACAACGTATGAAGAAATACCTCCAGAAACAACCATGTCAGAAAATAAACATCTGATCAAAGACATCCAAGATGATACAGTTATTGAAGAAAGGTCTGATTGTGAAAAAGAGTGCAATCATATAGAGGAGACAACTAGGATTGAGTTGTCGTTAGAGAAAAAGGATATGATTCAGTGTAATGTGGAAAGCAAGCCAGTGCCAAAGCCAAGGGAGTTCAAGACTAAGGCTGCATCAGCATCAGGTAAAGCAAATGTACTTTAATTTTTGTGTAATTTCCAGATTGCTAAAATTATTTTAAAGCAAAATAGTTGGATAAACTTTTTTTTTTCTATTTAATGGAAGCTTTAAAATCTTGAATGTGTGTATTTGACAGGGGGAAAATCATTGTTTTTCTGTCTGACAAAAGTAAGCTATATTTTATTCATTTACAAATTAAAGCATTGCCATTTGCCATGTGATATAATGTGGGATTGCACATAAGGCACCAGCATATTTAGTGTTTGCGTGCCAGGCACTGCTTTTTGAATTCACCATTCTGCTATTGTGAACAAGTGTAACTGAATCCTAGTGTAGATACTACAAAGTATCACTCTGTTTTACAAAACAAAGAATGGGAGCTACCATTTCAAATCAAAATTTGAATGCAAGAAAAAGACCAGCAATACAGTACAATTAATATAAAAAGGGATAATTTTTTAAAAAGTGAGAAAAACCTGAAACAGCTAACAGCTGACAATGAATAATATGAGGGAGGAACCAGACGGCTTAAATTTTGCAACCTTCTTAGAGGTTTCTGAAGAGTGGTCACCCAGGAAAAGTGTAGTGGCTATATGTGAGTCAGATTCTACCTCCACATCTCAACAAAAGCAAGTTCACCTTTCATGTGAGAGACTTATATATCTACCAGTTGTTTCCCTAATAGATAGCACCCCAATTCAGGCCAAAGTAAATAGTCTCCTATGAAAAGCAGATAAGACATTAAAGAAATTTCTAAGAACAGTCCAGGGAGGAGGAGCAACTGTACTATAAAAGGGATGGGAAACATTGTGGCTCAGTCATTTTGGATACTTAAATCCCAAATTCTCTGTTTCAATTCAGCTAGAGTTTTATCTATTTTTTTTAATGCTTGGCCATTTACATTTCTTTTTTTATTATATTGTTATATATCTTGATGTATTGTATTGTTTCAGTACAGTGATGTTTATGTAATATGAAAGATTATTGATATTCTATTATTTAGATAGCTTAGAGTATTGAAAATAGAGAAGAGAAAAAAAAGCATTCTATCAATATTAATTACAATTTAGGATGTCAATATTACAAGGATAAAACTATTTGGCTTTTTCATCCAAAATTGAGTATAACATTGAAAAAAGAACTGCTGCAACTCACATCAAGTATTTGTTGCATGGTAAAGGTTTCAATCTTAAGTTGATTACTTAATATTAAAGTCTCCATTGTTTTGTTACAATGTGTGTGTGTGTGTGTGTGTGTACATATGCATGCATGCATGCATGCATG